ACAACATTTTAAATCTAAAATGTGACATCAAACCAAGGATTAATATATCTTTAACTATGGAAGCTGTCAGAGACAAAGTAAGTCTGTTATAATTTCCAAAAAGGCATTTGCTAGCGAGGAAGTTTACAAATGAGAGGAAGCCATATAACCCATCTAGCCTGTTTGGTAGTCAACAGCTAATTGACTCAAGGCTCTAATTCAAACATTTCTAAAAACAGGGTATCCGCTTTAACAACATGACTGGATTGCTTGTTTCATACGCCCACAACCCTACATGTAAAGAAATCTTCCTTCACCTGATTCAAAGACGGGCTCAGTGCCTTAGACTAGTGAATACCATCCAAAGGGCTTTTCTCTCACACATTCTGGCACAGAATACACACTAGATAATCAGTGGTTCTCAGTGAAGGACATGACAGGAAAGTGCTCAGGGAGTCAGGGAATCCCACCACAGTCTACAGTTGCAGCAGAACACAAAAGGAAAAACAAAAATAGCACCAAAAGTGTCATCATTGCCATGGCAGCCTTGCTCTGTGGAGGCCTGTTATTATTGGTAGCATGAGTGAAGGAAAGACTTCACACAGCCTCGCTTTTCGCAAAACACATTAATTAGACAGGGACGGATATTAGTCATATACCCTGACATTGTATTGAAATGTCAAACTCTAGTTTCCAGAAGATGTTCTGAGAGCTGTGTTACTTATCAGGATATTGATAACATTAACTGCAACACAGAACGTACCTGTAGGTAACAATGATTTTTTTTTTGTGATACATGCTTAATTATACTTATCCATCCATACATTTTTTCCAACTACTTCTTACAAATCAGGGTTGCAGCGGGCCAGAGCCATTCCTGGCAAGCAACAAGGTGGGGTACACTCTGGACAGGACAGAGCGCCAGTCCATCACAGGACACAGACAGACATTAACATGTCACACACAGTCATGCCAGGGCCAATTTTCCCCAAATGCCTATTAACCTACTGTACTAGTGTGTCTTTGAACTGTGGAGCTCCTGGCAGAAACTCACACGAACATGGGGAGAACATACCAACCCGAGGCAGATAACACCCCAAGGCTGGAACTCAAGCCCAGGGTCCCCAGAGCTTTGAGGCAGCAATGCTAATCAATCCTCCACTTCTATGTATATTTATACTTTTTTTTTACTATTTCAGCCCCATTATAGATATTGAAATACTGTATCTCTATATCAAGAAGTACTGTATACCTGATCACTCTGTCTCTCTTTTACTTTTAGTAAACTGTTAAAAAATGAATGTTAACCAAATTAATCGAAAATTGCAGGTAATTCTGTACCTACTGTATGTATTAGTCTTTTTTGTGTTTATCCCCCAGAATTATTATTTTTTCCAATGTAAACATAAATCCTCTGAGATATACTTGTGTCCATTTCAGCAGGTTAGTTATTTCCTAACGAATGTGAGATTAAATTTATTTAAAGTGACTCTCCTAGTTGGCAGCCAAGCCATAAGGTTAAACCCCCCCTCACTATGGTGAGGATTGAGCCAGGGAGCTGCAATGAGGGTGTGGGTGTGGAGTTTAACATGCAGTAGGTGAGAAGAACTGTTCAGTTTTAGGATCTACTCCCCCTCCTGAGCTTCTGTTATAAATTCTATTTCTCTCATATCAAAATAATTTTAACGTACAAACTAGAATATAAAATCAACAACAGTTTTGTCAGAGCCAATGCCTGACATTGGCAAAGATTCTCCGTGATTTTGTCTTTTAGGATGCCTTTTGTCTTTTCAGATCTGCTCCGACCTAATGGAGTTCTTCTGAATATTTATTGCATTAAGGAAAGTACCCAGCTACAGGTATCTCCAAAATCCATGACAGTGTCTAAATTCTGCTTCAAAACTGAGTAAACAGCTAAAGGCAGAAACAAACGCTCAGTGTGCCAGACAGTGTGCTGTCCGAAAGAAGGTCACGATGACAGAGAGTGCTGGCGCGAGCAGAAGTTTACCTCTGGTTGTTCAGCTTTTGTCAGAATTAATCACTCATTACTTTTGCGAACTCGGGCTGGTTTCCATGGAGATAAAATTTAAACTGCAGATTACAGTAGAAATTATCCGGAACGAGGCATCCGCTCTTGAGCACTGCTGTTTAAGCAGAGGCTTATTTATTCTACATTGTGTTTTTCCTAATGGCTAATCATTACAAACCGTAGGTATGTTTTTTTTTTTTCATTCCATGTTGCACGCTATTGGACTATACAGGAAAAGCATTTTCCCATCAGACGAGTGATACAAAAATAGCACCACTGGAGAAAAGATTAGGACCACCCACCAAAGAACACGCGGCTCCAGGATCTGGTATGTACTGTATTCCCCAGGTTTTAGAAATATTTGTAGGCCAATCCTGTCCCCTTGTTTTGCCTAGATTGCCTTCTGTTGTGTTGAGTGCAAAGGTGTGTGGGATTGAATTACACGTGCCACTTGTGCCACCAGTTTTCCGTAAAATTAAAATCTGGGGATTATTCCTGCCAGGAAAGGGAAGGCAATCTGTCTCAGGCTCCTTAAGCCAGCCACACACTGCCTGCCTCTGGCTATGAAAGTCCATTCACTTAGTGTGTGGTTCCTAATGTTTCAGCTAGTGAGTGTATTTCTAAGCAAATGCCTTTATTTATTTCAAGTTCCTTGACTGTAAAGGAGTTTAGATGTACTGTGTGAAAATTTTTTTCGTCTTGTACATCAAAATATCATCAATCACAGTACAGTCCTCCCCCCAAATTAAAAATAATGCAGATGCACATTTGTGTTCCTCCAGATTTTTCCTTGAAACATACTGGATACATTACATAAACATATTTGTACATTTAAGGACTGCTAATTTTAATAGAATATTCTGATGTCTAGGAGAAACTCACTTCACTGTCACAATGAAGAAAATGGGGAACATTTAGTCAAAGGGCTGAAGTCACAGGGAAAGGAATCTGTTGAAAGTATGGTTATAGTCCAGAACGTACAGTACATGTGGAAGGTGAACACATAGCTTTTTCAAGTCTGGTTCAAAATACAAAATGCATCTTTTCATGTCCGGTTCTACATGACAGTCCATACATTTTCTAACTGCTTTATCCCAAAAAACATGGCCATGAGGGAGCTGGAACCTATCCTGGCAAGTAGTAAGACAGGATTCACCCTGAACAGGACAACTTTCCATTGCAGGGCGTGCACAAGACACAAACACACTCACACCTACCAATATACCCCAGGACTGTGGGAGGAAACCCACACAAACACATACAAACTCCATCCAGACAGCACCCCAGGAATTGAACCCAGAGCCCCACCGAAGGCAGGGTACCACTGTGTCGCCATACCACCCTTCTTTGTGACAATAACTTTGGATAACACAACCGCAGCGCTGGATAAAGAGTCCGGAAAAAAAATGGAATTTTTTTCTTCCCAAGCTACAAAAGTAAATAGCACTGGCATTCCCCTAAGGCCCATTTATTCCAAAGCTATGGTAAATAAAGACAATTTAATGAATACTTACACCCCACAACCAGAGAAAGGAAATGAAATAAAGAAAGCAGCTGTCTAATCCACAGAGCAGCTGGACTGATAAATGACTAAATGAGGAGAGAGCTGGTTCAGTAATTCGGAACATGATTTTAATAAACCTAATAGCAGAGTTAATGAATTCCAGAATGATTTAGGAAGCTGTAGAGAATTGAATCTCACACGTATTTATTTGATTTATTTATTTTTAAAAAAGGACTGAGAGCAGATGCCTCTGCAGGAATTTCATACCTGCTTTGGGCACTACGTTTTTCTATATTCCCATTTGAACATTTCAGCCTGGCTCTATCACACAATGCATGGAAAAAATGTCACCCATGAGACAGAGGCTTTTAATAAAGCAACAATCTCTGACACTGTGAAAAGGAATCCTTTCACCAGCCTTCACGCACGTAAGACTATGAATAATAAGAGGCATTTATTGGAAAAAAAGTCTTTCAGCAGGGGTTTGAAGTTAATCACATTTTGGAGAAATAAAAAGGAAGGGTGAAGCATATATAATAAGCTTGAGCAGATCAGTCTAAATATTATTTTTCACACTCTTTTGTAATTTTCATTTTTAGTTCCCTTAGGCATCTTACATGGATGACCTTCGTAAGTCTCTTTCTTCAGCACTTGAATTCCAAATATGAAGGAGAATAAATCAGATTGTGGCAATACTAAATAACTACAATACTCAAAGTATTCTCCTAATGAATGGCAAAGCATTTAAATAACCTATGCTCTTTCTAATGCATCCTTATTACATTCATGGTAATCAATTAACTCTAACACAGTCTTTGTTACAAAATGTTACTATTAAGACAAGATAGTCTAAAGACCAATTAAGTGAAATGATTTCAGAATGATTCCATTTGAATTTAAGAGCAAATATATTCAGTTTGTTTGAAGCATAATTTCATTAAGAGCTGGCAGCAACAGTATTCAAAGTGTTATCAAGTTTTTGCATTTTGAGCAGAATGGAATCTGAAATTAACCGTCACACCATAAGAAAAATAGCTATGACAAATGCTTTTAAAAGCAAAGATTCTTTTATTCTACAAAACATAATCTGCAATTTAAACTAAAGGAAAAAATAAAGATGAAGGATTGTTCCACTGAATACATATGGTTTTGAATAAAGAATTTGCTCAGTTCTTTTTCATGATTGCACAAAAATTCAAGATAATATCATTATTCTCTTCCTCTTTATAGGCTGCTACTTCCTCTTAAGATGTATGGTGACTTGCTTCAATTATACAGTAGCTTTACGGATGGTGAAGCTGCACTAATGTATCATATGTAGTTTTAATTTAGAGACATTTGGAAAATTAATGACACAGTTCTCATGAATGGCAATCGATCTTCACAGGAAATACTGTGGAAGGCTGTTTTAAAAAAATCAGTACTGTATGACAGGCCTGCAGCATAAACCAAGCAGAGTTACCATACTGACTGAATGAAAGTTTCCTATTCCAATCCTGCCTGTCTTCAAATACTGACAAAAGAAAATATAACACTGGTCTACTGTAGCTTACTTGATAGTAGAAAACTCTACCAATAAGAGGTGTGATCATCTATAATTTATATGTGATTTACCAAACCATACTTAAAAAACACTTGCATAAAGAGTTTGAATGCTCAGATACGTATTGATTTTTGGAGGACTTTGGATGATTTTGGGCCTCTGTCTGGATTTAATCTTAAACACTTTAAAGCTACTAAACTGTGCTAAGGTCTGTAGGCCCCAGTTGCTAGGAGACACTCACCTAGGCCTCCTGCTGCGATGACTCTTCCTCCAAGGTAACCAGCCACAAAGTCAGCTCGTTTTTCCCTCATACGAGACGCTCGTGTGGGTTTATTCCAAATTCCTGCAAAGATACACAAAAACCATCTACTGTATTAAGAAGCACTGACATAGCCTACATAATGAACGACAGATGGGAATAATACAGGCACACTTCCAGATTTGGTTTCTCTTATAATGAGAGATTATCAGGGTTTTTTTTTTGCCTTGGCTCCTCTGTAACCGAGTAAGGATGTAAATGAACATTGTGAATATTTGTTTTTGTTTAAAAGAAAGAAGTACTAATATACTGTAAACCATTGTTTACTTCTGGCTCTTTGGAAACTACAGTAACTCACCTCAATTTTACAGTCTGATGTCACTGTTCACTGCTAATATTCCCTCTCTCATTTTTAAAGCTCAGATTCAGAGCTCATAGACTTTTTTTGCTGCCAGGACTTTCAAGTGCCAACAGGCCATAAAGTGTTAAAGAGTCCCCCCAGATAACCCCTTTACACTCTCAGTAGCTTTTTGCTGAAATATTTTTGATGGATGGCACATTTATTTGGAGAGCAGAATGCTTCTTTATTGATCATATTATTAATTAATTTGGATTTTTTACAGTGTGTTTGAACTCATTTAGACAGCTGGCTGGACTACTGATGTAATGTGAGAGACATAGTATACTCATACAACAGCAGAGCACCACCTGGGATTTGTGTTGGTTATGAATCCAGTGTCTTAACCATCATTCTACCCTATTCTGCAAACAGCTTTGTATAAGACAATAAATCCGATCTTCATTTCCTGTGCCTCTAAAGCAGTATCTGTTTGATGATTAAAATCCTCCAAAAAGCCATCCCTTTCCATATTGAAATGAAGACTGAAGAATCCGCATGAACGTATTATGAATCCCAAAATATAATCGGAAGAAATCCAAGTGCTTAGTCTGGATCACTGTCTGAGAAAACCAAATTATACTTCTAAATTTGGGATTGTCTGACTTCTGAAAAAAGTGTGGCTTTGCTCCTATGAGTTCTATATAGAGCAGGTAGTGAACGCGTTATCTCCTCTCCATGGAAACAGCCACTCTGACTCACACATCTCCCTGATGAGGAAGAGGCCAGCCAGTGCTCAATCTCACAGAGCACACAAACTGCAGGCAACGTCGCCCGACACCTGATGAGACGTTAGGATTTTTTTTGTTGTTGTTGTTTTTGTTTCTGCTGGTGGAAGTCATTGCTACAGTGAGAGCCACACAGACAGAAATAGCTATAAGGCACATGACGTTGGAGTAGAAAAACATGCCAGACTGATTCCAGTGTCATTTGAGTGGAATATGATTGCGGTAAAAAAAAAGATAATCATCTAGGGTGGAGACTGAAATCTTTGTGGAGTGCTTGAGAAAATCTGATTTTTCAGGATTTAAAGTTTGGATTTAATACCACTCCTAAAATAACAAACAAATCGACATGCTATATTTCAACAGTTAAGTCAAGCTCCAATTAATACAAAGAGTTGATGAATCTGGGGACAACATATTTAAAATTTGCTTTGCGTAACTTGCCTGGCTAAGGAAACTTCAACAAGAATGAAAACTTAAGGCTGGGAGGACCCCAAAAGAGATAAAAGTAACCCCAAAACACCACTGCAGCAGTCCTTCTTTGACAGAGCTCATGGTGCTGGAGCTTTTGGTTGATCAGGTTGGTTCGGAGGTATGCTTCAGAGGAACATGTTAAGTTTGATGGTGCAGCATCTAGGATTTGATGAGAATATGAAGCATTAACCCAAAATCTATTGGTTATGGAGGTCAGCTTTGGCCAGCCTGACAAAGAGGTGCTATATGAACTTGCAGTGAATAGGTACTTACTGATGCATGTGAATGAACAGAAGAAGTGGCTGAATAAGAAAAGCAAAGGGTGTCTGGCATGCCCGAGAGCGTCTGGTCACTAGGGGGAGACTTTGGACGGGGGTGGGGTGTGGTAGAGGGTTGGGGATCGACCCTGCATGTAGCTGGGAGCAAGAGCAGCTATTTCACCCTGCAACTCACAACTGGCAACTCACTGAAGCTGAGCAGGTGTGAGCCTGATCAGTACCTGGATGGGAGACCTCCTGGGAAAGCTAGGGTTGCTCTAGGTGTTAGAGGGGCCACTAGGCGGCGCTCACCCTGCAGTCTGTGTGGGTCATAATGCCTCTGTATAGTGACAGGGACCCTCACTATACTGTAAAAAGGTACTCTACTTCAGATGAGACGTAAAAATCGTGGTCCTGACTATCTGTGGTCATTAAAAATCCCAGGGCGTTTATTGAAATGAGTAGGGGTGTTACTCCAATCTTGGACAAATTTCCTCCCCACCGATAGCTGGTGTGTGGTGAGCGTATTGGCGCACTTCGGCTGATGTTGGATAATCCAGGTGGGACTTCACATTGGTGGTGGAGGATAGTCCCCATTACCTGTAAAGCATTTTGAGTGGAGTGCCCAGAAAAGTGCTATATAAGTGTAAGAAATTATGGTGAGTTACCTAGCACCAGGTATGCTTTAAGCTGGAATTTCCTTGCAAAAGCACTTCCAAAGTCACAGAAACACCTTGGGTGCTATTCTGCAAGGAACACAGTTTATAACAATGGTGGTATAAGACAGATCAATCAGGATCATGTGCCTTTGTAGTCATCACAGGTCAGGTGCAGCAACAGGAACACACTCAATGATCTCTACAGCCATATTCATACTCTATGTACTCATACTTTTGATGAAGTGCATTTAAAATCTAATATTTTTAACATGAATTAGAATGAACTGTAACTAAGAAGTACTGACAGTATTGATGACATAACTGTAAAAATAATTATATTATTTCTAACTCACAATATTAAAACACATTAATAATAAATATGTTAAAAATAAATGCCTTAAATGGACACATCTAGTTTCACAAAGCCTCAGAAAGTTTAAAGAAACTACAATCATCCTTATTAAAGGAGGTTGAACTCAATACCCTGTTATCTTGATGAAAGTCAGCGAAAGTAACAGATTGTCAACTTTAATAACTAGCCAGGTTTCTAGGGGGAAATGATGTCCCCATAGCAGATAATCTTCATTACATAAAGATATAATAAGGTTCAAGCAAGCCTTATTGCACCTTTACATTGAATTCTTATGGAGCTAGAATTCTTTATATCCGCGTCCAGAGAACTTCTAACAAACTGGCTGCTTATTTTTTGTGAACAGAAGGGCTTCTTCACAGAAGAGATACATTTCCATTCAAACAGGCTTGTGAGTAAATGTTACCCAACCAAAGAATAATTTACAAGAACACTTTCAGCTGCAGTACTTGTGTAGCTAATTTGTGTGCTTGAATAATTAATTAAGCATTGTGAATGAAACATTGCTTACTGGTGAAGAGCTGAAAATGGGACAAGAGGGAGTTTCGGGAAAAAAAGAGGAGTCCCATGTTGTTCTTCATCTTCAAGAAGTGGAAACAAATTGCATTTTGACAAGATAAACTCTTTGGAATTCAGTGTGGTCCCTGTATAAAGCACTATGTATTTCTTATTCATTGTTAGACTGTAGGGCAGCATGCTGGCCTGCTGGGTAGCATTGCTACTGTACATCTCAATGTTGGGGCCCTAGTGCCAATTCCTGGGCTGCTATCTGCTTGGAGTTTGCATTTTCTCTATGTGTTTGTGTGGGTTCCCCTCTGGGCGTGCTGGTTTTCTCCTAGAGTCAAAAGACAAACTCATAAGGTAACTGTCGTATGGGAAAAGTGGATCTGGAGTGAGTGTGCGCTTGTCTGTCTGCCCTGTCATGGACACGTGTCTTGTCCAGGGTGTATCCTGCCTTGCGCCTGTTGCTGGCCTGGAATTGAATAGGTTAACCTGGTTAGAAAACAGATGGAATGATGGATGTTAGACTACAGAGTTATTGATTGTACCATTTTACTATTCTACCATCCTGTAACCATACAGTATCTGCCCGCTTACCATTTGTGAGATTGAAAAGCAAGCTTTAACCACGAAACCTCCTTCCTCTATCCTGACAGGTATTACAAAAAGCATAAAATGGCCTTAAATGAGCTGGAGAGACAGGGTAAATATGCTGGAAGTGCCTATTTTGGAGACGATAACTATAGCACATTTGCAGGGAGAACTTATACCCTTGTAACAGCAATGAGCTATAAAAGACAACAGGCATGCAATTTGACTTCAAAGTGGAAACAGCAGTTTGCAAGGGACCCTAAAGAGGCAATATTTTACTGTTTTCTCATGTTTGATACTGAATTTTACCATTGTTTAATGTTTTGAAAAAATTCTTGATGCTATTGAGAGTGTTTTTTTGCTTTTATTGTGAGTTTTCACGCTAATTTGCCATTCCAAAAAACATTCTGAAAATCATGTAGAAGAAGACTGTGCTTGTGGCCTGTGCAAAACAATCATCTCAATTTCTCGCCAGTTTTATCCCCTGAAAGCGATTATTGACAATCCTTTAGGTGTGAATTGCATTTTGCCATCTGCACAATTAACTGTCATATTGTCAAATGCCAGACAGGACAGAACAACTGAATATGCACTGTCCTGTAATAACAGATAATTCAACAAACTATATAGGCTGAAGAAAATAAGAGTGATTAAGAATCGCCAACATTTTTACAAAAGAAACTTTTCTTTTGTAAACTGGAAGAATGAACAAGTTGCAAATGATCAGAAATGTGAATGAAAAAGAAAAAGGAAAGAATTCCTTAGAATGACTATGGCAAATAAAAAATAAAAAAAGACATTGAAATTTCCTTGACCTTGGAGAAAATGAATGAACATTCTGTTGATTCTAATGTCATAAAATACTTAGTTTCAGTATGATTTGTACAGTAACACTTTCTTCTTCTAGGTAATGCACCATGCTCTTCTCTCGTTGTGATGTGTATTATTGAATCAGCTACAAAGTAGAGAAGACTGATGAGCAGGCAAAGTAATATTAACAACACAGCATGAGCTGTCCTCTCCATATTTTTAACAGAACCAGAATCAACCACCTCTCTAATCTCAGAGGTTTATCCTGCTGTTTCTGAAACAAAAGAAAATGAGAAGTTA